GTTATTTGCTTATTTTCATTGTATTGCCTTAATCCATACGTAAATTGAGGTCGAACACACATTTGACCTGAAATCAACATTCATAAGTAAATGTGTTTGTACTTGAAATGAACAATTTTAGGGTAAAAAACATAAACTTTACTCTCTTCAAAGATCTCAATATTCATAGATGTTTTCATTGTTATTTTAGGTGAAAATATTGACAAAAATTATCCTTTATTTACTTAAAAACTAACATTTAAACAGATTGACAGGCAAATTATTAGAATGAAATTATAATATGAAAAATGGGTTTCAGTGTTTCCCCTCTTTACTAGATTCATTATAATACAGATTGACAACAGTAAACAATAACAATAACCAGTCAACACAATTATAATAATTATTAACTTACTTTCAAAGTGAATCAACAAAACAGGAAAAATGAAAGAAAAAGTAAAGTCAATAATGATGATGATATTAAATTTCATTGTAATTCAATAACTTTTTGCCTGAAGCCATTTTATGGTCAAAAATGTAAGCATTTTTCAGAAAATTTTGCATCAAAATAATAACTGAACTGATAAATCCGAATGTTTCATAAAATTGTTGTTGCCTGAAGAGTTTCCAATATTAAAATCCATATTATGATGAAAGTTATTAATTATTGATATAAATAAATGAATGATTCATAAAATAACGGTTATGTTATATGCCATTGAACTTGATCATGTTTTTATTCCTGTCCTTCAATTTATAGTAACTTCATCATCATCTCATCATCATAATCATAACCATGTCACTCTCACTCTCACTCAATATTCCTCTCTCTCATCCTCTTTCCTCCCTCCCTCCCTCTCTTCCTCTGTCGGTCTCACGACACCTTAACTTTGTTTGTTTACCTTTTCATTTACATGGAAACCACAATAACAATTCAATGTTGTTTCATTTCTTTCATTTCTATTATTCCTTAACTTTCTTTTCAATTTTAACCAATTAATTCAAATCAATTAATCCTAATCAACTAATCATATTTATTTCTTTCCTTTTGCATCATTTTTTTACCAAATGATTAATTGAACCAATTAATATCCAGATAACCCAAAGTGAACGTTCAGCTCAATCTATAAGATCTTCATGTTTTAACAGTAACAATCGGTAAATGTTTGTGATTGATTAAACCAAAGCAATTAAATGCACAATCAGTTATTTGCCTGCACGCTTACCAAAGCATTTGCATGAATTTCAATTTTTTTGCTATTTGCATGAAAAAATCTCTAAAATTTGAATCTCTTTTATTCCAATGCACATCATTTCACTTTTTTATAAATCATTTTTATATTTTATTTTGCATTTTACAATTCATTTGATTATTCATTAATTTTTGATTTTGCTCTTTTGTCAAACCATTTATTCATTGCCTCTTGTGTTTATCATTTTTACATGTCAATTGCAAGACTTGCATTAAGCATCATCTTCATGTAAACAACAATCAACTAATTATGGTTAACCCAAGTCATTATTATTAACAGAATGGTTAACAATAAAAATATGTTGACCGCCTGTTGTGCTAGTTACATAGACATTTATATTGCTATTACAATAATAATAGTTGGTTTAAACTTGAAAACAAAACATTGAATTACTTCAAGAGTCTATTTTTACAACAATCAGTCATGAGTAATGTAGACAAATGAGCAATTATCAATGATTAATTCAATAATGATAATAATAATCATCTACAATTCATTGGCACTTTTTGCTGCTTCTTAAGCTTCACTCAACACACACCAAACAATATATTATAAACACATAAAATGCTTATTTACACCTCAAAATCACTTTACCTTTGCATGAATATCACTATTTTTATCCCAAAAAATATTCTAATAATAATTAATAACTAATATTCTTCTTCTTCCTTTTCCAATTAATCAACAGAATGGCCGATTATGTTGTAAATATTATGCTAATTGTATCAATGGCTCTTCATCTGTATTTAATGATCATTTGAATGAATATAAAGACATGGATTCGCAAATCACAAATGATAATGGAAATGATGAATTGGTTGAAACACCATTAAATGGATCCTGTTAATCAAATGAATGATCAACTGGAATCAAATCATCATCTCAATCAATTGAAATAAATCAAAAATATTTGATCAACTCTCAGTTTCAAATAAAATAAATTGAAATTGAACAAAATGAAGCTGAAACTACTCAACAAAATCCAATAATGATTGGTAACTAAATGATCAAGGATCACTTTCATGAATCCTGATTACAAACAAATCTACTTAGAAATTATTGTTCAATTGAACAGTTGATTAATCAAACCTAAATTTAAAAGAGTTGTATTATCAACTCAATTAAACCGTAAGTAACCATCTCGATTGTATCTGTGTGAATATCAATACTAATTTATTTTCTGGTTTCATTTCATTTTCACAGACAAAATCTCCATTCTCAATACAATTACAACAATAACAGTTAACTTTGAAGGTTAATTGTTAAAAGGATTGTCAAAACAAAGTTGTAATCTTTAATTTAACTCTTCCTTTGCTTTTGACACAAAACCATCATTTGTATAAATTAATCAATTGTAATTTAATATTATTATTATATTTAATAACGAATTGAAATACTTAATAAATTTCAATAAACTCAACATTCGTCTTGAAACTTTTGACATCAAATGAACTTTAATTCACCTTGTAATGATATTATAATATTTCCTTAAAATCATAAAGTTTTTCATATTAATCACAATTACAGTTCAATGTTATCTTAATTGGCGATCAAAACGTTTAGCAAAAATCGTTAAAAAGTTTAAAAATTAAAGTCAAGTTTGATTTAAAATTGATTCATTTACTGAGAAAACTTAACATCTAATCATTCAATCCTAAATTCAGACAACATTAAATTTTCAATTTGTATTAGAAGATTAGGTCCCAATGCTCGAAATGCATAAGACATTTTTGAAACTCATTTTCAAAAAAATTTTAACGGGTTGTATCCAGATTCTTGTTAAACAATTTATAAAAATTAAGCCATTTTATGCTAATTGGGAGGCCTCGAATTTGAATTAAGAAAACCTTCGTTTATCAAAAACAATAAACTGATAATTTATCGCTTAAATTTACGTAAAATGGTGGCCTTTTTTGAGATTTTAGGCCTAAAGAAAAACAATTTAAGTTCATCGAAACTCGAGGTAAGGAAGTGTGGCTATCATTTACCGTTGGTGCCATTCTGACATTTGAAACATGACGATCATCGGGACTTACCTAATCACCTTATAGCAACAATTTAGACAAAATTAGACAATAATTCATAGTTTCGCACTAATATTGCTAAGGAATTGTCTAGCATTTCCGTTTACAAAGGTAAGATTATTAATTTACTTTCACTTACCTATCAGTTTCCGGTAATTAATTCAATATTTCATTAGACTGTGAATTACCTCAATGGGGGAGAGTTTAATGTAGTGAAACAATTAATAGCTTCATCAAAGTGAACATTTAATGAACGGTAAAAGCATTTCATTTACATTCACAATTGCCTTTTGATGAGGTTTACATAATATTTCAGTGTTCACATCATTCCAGTCAGTTTGCATGGACAATTTGATAGTTCAGACATCTATTTGAACAGCAAATCAAATCAGAAATCAAATTGGTGTAATTTTTGCTTAACTTGAACCTCGCGCTCTTTACCCTTCTAACGTTTCCCATTTTTTTCCCCCTTAGCATGACTTGCCATTTGAACAGTTAACGTCTTTAAGCTTTACGGTTATTTTATGTTAAATGTATACTAATTGTTAACTAATTATGCTTCCATTGTTAATCATCTTTTATGTTCATTAATAGTTCCTGTGTTAAGTGTGGTTTGGAAAAGGTCTGTTCTGCTATTGTTTGTTCATAGTGTTCAATGGAAGGTTTCTAGCGTAACTGTAATGGCTTTTGTTATTTCTCATAGTTTTATCGAATGGATTTCACATTCTGGACTTTGAGGACTTTATTTTGAAATTGTTCATGGTTCTCACAAGCATGTAAGTGAAATTTGATTTGACAGTTAATTCAATGATTGTTTTCAACTATTGATTGGTGTGATAAAATCTTCAACAATGATCTTTGATCGGGAATATTTTCTTGTTCAATCCTTGCTTTCCAGATCTCAATTGAGTAATCAAAGGATATGTTGTTGATTTTTGTTACATTACATTAAAACAAACATCTTCAATGGTTAAATTGAATTTAATTAATCATTTATTCTTCCTTTCCATCTATTTTTAGGTTGTAGTTGAAAGTCACCAAGAACAGCTCATCATGAAGGAAACAAGAAAAATGTCTAACTCAATGAAAGTAAATGTCATTTATTATCATAATGACGATCAAGATATAACCGATAACCAAGTTAGATGATGCCACCGACATGTTCCCAATGTTAAAAGTTAAAAGTAATTATCTCAATCGTATTCTGTTTACCTGATTGTTATTTTATTACCTTAGGTACTGACTACTTTACTAACTGGAATCACACGGTTTAAAGCTAAAGAAAGAAAGAGAAACCTAAAGCGTTGTCAAAGTCAAGCCTTTTTTGCCAAAAATGTATAGCAATGGTGGAAATCTTATCGGCAAAAGTAAACAACTTTGTCCAATAAAGTCTAAACAAGAAAAACGTTTTGTTACCCGTTAGCAAAATATTATCTTTAAAATGGAGAAAAGACTATCATAATCATTTTTTGGCGGGATATGAGTGATTTATTAATACAATGAATATTATCGATAACGGGTTGGCCAGTTGACATGAAATGCTCTGAATTAAACTGAAAGTTTAGCTGAAAGTTCATTGGCGTACACAAGACCATTGCAGGAAGCCTTTTTGACCGGACAAGTGTGACTTTGTTAGCATGAAAGTTTCTCCTTGTATGGCTCTTGACTAGCTTAGGCAATGAAACAAAAAATTTAATGTTGATCAAGATGAAGTTGAAAATTTAATTTGATTAGTCTCTCTTTATGGAGTTTTTTACTCTTTATGGTTTGATATAGCTTGACCATATGATGAACTAAATGGTGATCATTATGGGATAAAGGTGATGAAGATGCTCAAATAACAGTACAAGAACGGTAGCATTGTCAGTATGTTGTTTACCATACTGACCACGGATACACACTGGTCAAGACTCGGCAGGAGGTAAAGATCACCCAACATTGATTATCCATATTGGGTAACTTTGTAGTCACTCAAGTTCCAATTATTGGTCTTGTAAAGTTTTACCCTAAAGGCAAAAGTCAACTTTGACCAATATTTCAAAATGAAATTACCAAAAGTAAGTTGAACAACATTTTTGTCTAATCATCATTTACCAAATACCCACCTGTGCCTACCCGGCAGGTCTCAAAAGCATATCAGTCAGCTTAGTTACATAAAATGGATCAATACCAAAAGTGATCAAATCAAAACAATTCAGATCAATCCTTGTCCAAATCAAAATCTTTTTTTTTGGTAAATCATTAGACAAAGAAGAATAACATTTTCCAAGTTGACTTCACCGTTGATATTTATGGCCTTACTTTTTATTACCTTTAGCTTCAAACATCCCATTGATTAGTTGGAAATAAATCTCCGTAAAGGTGTCGAAGCTGTTGCTGGCCTTCATATTACATGATACGTTTTCACGCCAATGAATCAACCTTTAAAATCAATCAACTTCATTACACTGTTTGGTGTCTAAAAGTGGAATATTATCTAACATTACTGGACATTATCATTGACCATTAAGTTTCTCCCATCGAGTTATGTAGACCATTTCACTTCAATCAAAGCTGAATCAATTTTGACGGTAAACAAATGGAGAAAAGGCCCTTTTCGTTGCATTTTTGTTTGAACCTTATGCTAACCAAACCCTAAGATCATAATCATTATGAATGATTTTAATGATGAACTTGACGATGAGCAAGCCTGTTGAAAGGATTGAGATGCTATTAATGATGATATAAAATGGTTCAATTTGTGCTTTGGTTCATCCTTTGGTGAAAGAAAAAAATCTAAATGAGAAGAGCTGAAAGGATGCAAAAAGGCAACTCTTTGATCACTAATTAACTTATGATGGTGATGAGACACAATTAATGGAAA